GGACTGGGGCTGGGCTGGAGGGAGACCCGGGGGTCGCGGCGCCCGATGGGAGGGGCAGGTGCTGGGCGTGGTGGGTGGGGCTGCTCCCGGGCGGGCGGGGGCCTGGTTGTCCGGGCCGCGGGCTTCGGCCGGAAAGGGTGGGGTGCTTGCTGGCCGGTGCCCAAGGGAGCTGGCCGGGGACTTTGGAGGACGGACCGGGTGCCTGGTGGTGAGGGTCTTCGCACCTTAAATCGATCCAACCAGGAAGTGGGGAACCGCCCTGTACCTCCAGCCACCGCTTTCCCCCCAATAAAGCCATCTCACAGCTTCCTTCAGAGACTGTCCGGCCTTCCCGGACAGATGCGGCGAGACACCGGAGGAAGGAGCTGCAAACGTTCAAAAGCAACCCCGTAGCTTTAAAACTCTGCTGGGTTTCTGGTATCGCAGTTATTTCTAGAATTAGATGAATGATTGAAAATGTCTTACCGAAGTCCCAGCGCAAATAATGTGATGGCTTTTCAAAGAAGTGCTTTTCAGACCTCAGGTTGCGGTATAGTGTTTTGTGGGCTCAGTGTACCTTCTGGTGTGACCACCATAAAACACACACAATAAGGACACAATAGAATAGAAATGGGGAGAGGAAAGACAGTAAAAATATACATCCCACATAGTAAGGGTATTATTTTGTGACTTTGTTTTGCAGGTTGATCATGTGGATCATGGGATCTGTATCCATTATTCCTCTTAGAAGATGAATCCTAACCTCTTTAATCCATTCTCTCTCTGCCTTACTAATGTCCTTAAAAATGTTTTTCCTTCTTTGCAGAAATTCCTTTCCTAACCTCAACAAATATTTGTCTTGACCTTATGTTTTTAAGAGAAGCTACTTGCCTAAGTAACTTCTTTAAATGTTCTTAATACTTATCTTTTGTTTGCTTCTAAAATTTGAAAATTTCTTCCAGTATCTGAGCAAGGCCCTGGCTGTGCCATCTACTTCAATTACCCTTAATCTGTCAGATATCTGTGAGGAGTTTTTAATATGTGTTTTGGGCCAGCTTCCAAGAATAGTGTGTTTAACTGGTAGTATCTTGCTAGCTGCTATAACTAAAATTTTCAGTGATTTAACACAAGAGAAATGTCTTGCTTGCATAACTGTTTAATAATACAGGTTTCATTACTTCAGGGGGGCAGGGGCAGCTTTCTTCCATGTAATGATTCAGGGACCCAGGCTCCTTCCATCCCATAGAATGGAGGTCAACCAATATTTTTTGTAAAGAGCCACATAGTCAATGTTTAAGGCTTTGTGGCCGTAGAGTCTCTGTTTCAACTATTTAACTCTGTCTTTGCATTTGTAGTTCCATAGACATTACTTTAAAATGTATGGGCTTGGCTGTTTCCAATGAAACTCTATTTACAAAAACAGGTAGCTTGCTGGATTTGACCTGTAATTTGCTAACTTCTGCCATAGATTTACAGAGACTTCTGCATTTAGTTAATGGTTGGGCAGAAAAAAGGTCTACCTGCTTAACCACATGGGCTCAGAAATGACACACAGCTTTTGTCTAGCATTGTTGTTGGCAAAAATTAAGCCCCATCTAGATAAAAGGAGGGCAGGCTGGGAAATGTAGTCCCTGTCTGGACAGGTATTGCCTAGCCCAGTGGTTCTCAACCTTCTGGCCCTTTAAATACAGTTCCTCATGTTGTGACCCAACCATAAAATTATTTTCGTTGCTACTTCATAAGTGTAATGTTGCTACTGTTATGAATCGTAATGTAAATATCTGATATGCAGGATGGTCTTAGGCGACCCCTGTGAAAGGGTCGTTCGACCGCCAAAGGGGTCGCGACCCACAGGTTGAGAACTGCTGGTAGCCTATATAATAAAGATGGAAGTTTGAGGGACTTGGGTTATAACTAGCTGTTTCTACCACAAATTATATTCCTCTTAATTTTTCTTAAGAGGAATTGTATAATAATTGTATAATAATTATTAAATACTATATAGTATTTATGATTTATTTTTTTAAAGAGGAAAACACTATTTTAAAAAGTCTTAGGAGGAAACCCAGTATATACAAAACACCAAAGTGGTGTTCTCTGGACTTGAAGGAGTGTGGTGTGTGTGTGTTGTGTATGAGGGACAGAATGTCATCACTTTAGCCATCCCTTTGACAGAGATAATGGCTGTACAGTACTTTTGTGGAGAACATACAACCATGGTGTGAAAACCAATGACATAGACTTAATACAGTGATAATAACATACAGTCCACAAAATCACAGAAATGATCATTTCAAGGGTAATTAAGTACTTTATTATTTATTTTAAATCACCTGAAATTTGAATCCTTCAAATTACTCTTTACCAATACTTCTGTTAAAATTCTTGTGTAATTACAGTCTCTCTTGGACACCACCATTTAGAAAGGTATTAAGATATTTTATTACAAGGGACTTTGACTCATTCTTTTTTCCCTTCTGCTTCTTCCACTTAAGTCAAGTGGAAAATACCTTGATTTTTTTAGTTTCCTTTAGAACTAAAATTGAAAATATGAAGCTACCCTTAATCTCTATATCAACCGTTGCTTCAAACAACTAAAGGATGTTCTAATATTAATTCAGCTTTGATCTTCCATTCTTTTACTTGACTTTATTTTCTTCAGAAATAATTTTTTTCAGGATTCTAGCTTTAAAGCACCATCTTTAGAATTGAAACCTGGTGGCACTATTCTTAAATGGAATAGAAAAAAACAAACAAGAAACCTACACCATTACATTTTCCCCACGATTGGTTTTGTCATAAAAAAGAAAATACTGAAGAGAAACCAAGATGGCAGCATAGGTTAGCGCCAAAGTTTGCTGCCTCGAACAACCACTTCAAAAATACAACTAAAAGACGAAATGGACATCATCCAGAACCACAGGAAGGCTGGCTGAGTGGAAGTTCTACAACTAGGAGGAAAGAGAAAAGCATACCGAGACTCAGAGGAGGCGCAGTGCTGAAGTAAAATACTAAGGTACGGAGTGCATGCGGAGCGGGCTGGCAGCTGAGGGCACGGTTGTCGTTTTCAATCGGGAGGGAGCCTCAGACTCTGAGCAAAAGACAAAGAGAGAATCTTAAAAGCAGCAAGAGAAAGAAACTCAGTTACCTACAAGGGAATACCCATACGACTGTCAGCTGATTTCTCAACAGAAACTTTGCAGGCCAGGAGGGAGTGGCAAGAAATATTCAAAGTGATGAATGCCAAGAACCTACAACCAAGATTACTTTATCCAGCAAAGCTATCATTCAGAATTGAAGGTCAGATAAAGAGCTTCACAGATAAGGAAAACCTAAAGGAGTTCATCACCACCAAACCAGTATTATATGAAATGCTGAAAGGTATCCTTTAAGAAGAGGAAGGAGAAGAAAAAGGTAAAGATACAAATTATGAACAACAAATATGCATCTATCAACAAGTGAATAAATAATCTGATGAACAGAATGAACTGTTGATTATAATAGAATCAGGGACATAGAAAGGGAGTGGACTGACTATTCTTGGGGGGGAAGGGGGTGTGGGAGATGCGGGAAGAGACTGGACAAAAATCGTGCACCTATGGATGAACACAGTGGGTGGGGAGTGAGGGCGGAGGGTGGGGTGGGAACTGGGAGGAGGGGAGTTATGGGGGGAAAAAGAGGAACAAATGTAATAATCTGAACAATAAAGATTTAATTTAAAAAAACAACAACACTGAACTCAATAAAGACCATCAACAAGGGAGAAGTTGAAGCCTTTCAGGAATTGGTATGTGTGAAGTGGCTTTGTTCCAGACAAAAAGGAGTAACAGAGACCCTGGTGAAGGGAGTAAGTTCACCGCTTCTTTCCTAGAGAAATTTAGATTCAATAAATGATTGCAGTACAAATTGTTATGCCCAGATTTCAAGATCCCCAAAAGTCCACCAGGGAGCCAGCCGAGTCTGATGCAAAAGCAAAGAGTCTTTATTCGAGCTAGCTCGGCTTCCCGACCACACTCACCGACGCAACGGCAAGCCAAGTGGCAGAGAGAGAGAACGCTGTGTGGAGAGAGGTTTTATAGGGGGGTTGGAGTAAGGGGAGGAGAAAGGACTGTGGGCCCTGCTGATTGGCCAGGCGCAAGTCAGTGTCTTGTTACACAGGATGTGGTCATATCTATGGTGCGCACTTCCCTTGATTGTCATTGGTTAGTTTAAAGAAGTCCTGGGTGTGGCTAGCAGAGGCTTAGGCTTCCGGGAAGAAGCTCCTTGCCGAGCACATGGCTGCCCCAAAATGGAGGATCCAGGGTAAGATGGAGGGGGTAGCCCTTACCCTGGGGCAAGATGGAGGGGGTAGCCCTTGCCCTGGGGCAAGATGGAAGGCGTAGCCCTCGCCCTTTCACAAATCAGACCAGAACTGCCAATCATCTCTGACCTACAGGCTGTAATCCAGAATCTTCAGCAAGACACCCGAGGCTTTTTGATTGGCCCCTCCTTTACTTCTCCTTTACTTTTGCTTTGTCCCATATCTCAAATCCAGTATTGGCCAAATTGAACTACTAGTAGTTTGTGGCAGATAACCATGTCTCCAGGCCTTTGTTCTACTCCACCTATCAGGATGCTATTTCCCCACACAATTTATTAGACAAACATGTACTCGTTTTCAAGATGCAGCTCAAGGATGACTTTTTTGAAGCCTTTCCTGAACTTGGGAGGTAGCATTGATGCCCTTGTCCCCTTTGTGTTATTATAATAATTCCATTCTTCTATGATAGCACCTCTTTCAGTAGTTTGCACATATGCTTCTATGCCTGTCTCCCTCTTTTGACTATAAACTTCTCAAAAGTATGAACATGTCCTGCTCATTTTTGTATTGTGATGGGCATGCACGCTTAGCGTCATATAGTGAAATGGGTATAGATATGTAACCTTTGACGAAAAGAAAATTTTGTAACTTCTTGTACTCTATGTATCTTGATGTCAATCTGTACAAAGAGTAGGTAGTTTCCACTGGCTTGTTCAAAGAATGGGTTGTGGTTAAAAGCTCCAGCCAGGTGTGACACCGCACTGCCCGCTGTCGAGCTTGTGACACCCTTTAAAAAGGCTATTAGAGAAAGGCTCGGGGCTGCAGCAGGATGGGGCTCCCTGTGTGGAGGACCTGTTGCAGTCGCTGGCTAGCTTTCAATAAATCCTCGCTTGCTGCTAAGACCTGATTGGAGTCGGTGGTCTCATTCTCGTGAACAGTGGTCCACAACAGTATGCCAGCTTCTAGCACAAGTAGGAGGAAAATGAATGTTGAAGATAAAGTACAAAGATGAAAAAAGAAAAGCTAAAGTAAACCCAAAGATAGTTTTGCTGGATGGAAATCTAATAGATAATGGGGACTATATCTGGAAAGATAGTTTGAATTAAGATTATAAAATGTTTAAGTAAACCTAAGAAGTCTGAATCAGGAGACAATGGTAAGTGGAGCACTTTTGAAGATTTTGATGCAAGAAAACACCATGGTGTTATATAGTGAGGAATATAGTACTAAATCATATGTAGCTATTAAAATATCATAAACTTTCCACCCTATCCAAATGAAAGGAAAGGAGATCAGAGGTAGAATTAAAAAATGAAATGACTTTTTGTGGTTTCACTTTTCTTTTTGTGTGTGTGTGGTTTTACTCCCCCCCCCCAAAGGATATTAATTGATTTATCACTTCTTATTCAAGATGATTTTGTGATATTATAAAAATAAATAAGAGCACATTAAAACTATGTTTCATATGACTTTGGTTTTAAAGAAAATATTAAAGGTCTTTTCACAATGATTTTAAAATATACTACAATGAAAAGGGAGCAAGTTTGGGTACTTACTATCATCAAGTTTTAAGTTATTTTATAACTACTCTTACACTAACTGTATTGTCATTGAATAAAGTGACTAAGAAGTGACTGAAGGGGCACTGGATCAAGTATGACCTAAGGTCATACTGGGTTTCAGTGAACAATTCTCTAGTTGGAAGCAATCACTTCAAGAGACATTGCCCAACCCTGGCTGGGTGGCTCAGTTAGTTGGAACACGGTCCTGTTCACTAAATGGTTTCGAGTTTGATTCCAGGTCAGGGCATATACCTAGGTTTTGGGTTCAATCCATGGTCTGGGCACATACGTGGGACAACCAATCGATATTTCTCTGTCTTCTTCTCTCTAAAATCAATAAAACCATATCCTTAGGTGAGGATTATAAAAAAGAAACTGCCCAGAAGCAAAATTGTTGGGAGGTTCAGATGCAGATTATATAGTCAATCCTTTATTTAAAGAGGATTAAAGCTCACACCAGTGAGGGCACGTGAGCAATAGAGATGGTTATCTAAATGCTACTTTGATGATTTCTTGCCTTCTAAAATAGTTTCAAATTATATTTTCTATTCACAGATTCATAGCCAGCTCTGAGCAAATTAAGATATTGCATTTTTCTGACACTTAGAAATAAACTTATACATTCTTCCGTTGTCTCTCTTTTTATCAGATATTGGGTGTGATATTTTGAGCACTGTTCTAGATCCAGCAACAATTTTTTCCCAAAAGTAAAAATAACTGCATTATCGCAACAGCATTATTTATTGTGGAAAACATAGTAAAAAAGGCTAAACAAAAATAAAAGGAGGCGGAATAAAAAACTCTAAAAAATTGGTATACACTTTTTTGTAACTTGTATCTCCTAACATAGTTTCAGTATCTTTCCATATTAATATTCATTTATAAAATTATTTTAAATAGCTGCACAGCACTTAGATGTACCTACAGAACTCAACCAATTTCCTAGTACTGGGCATTTTGGTTAGTTTTACTTTACTATTATAAGTAACTCTGGGAGGCACATTAATACCTTTAAGGCTACAGTAATTTCCTTTTTTTCTAGGATTCCAGTAGAGTATGATGGTGTTTCTTCTCCAAAAGGGGTTTATGTGGGCATTATCATTACAAAGAAAAAAGAGAAAATCCCGTTGTGACGGCCAGAAAAGCGATCTCATCACGTTAGGGCCGCGTTCTGGATTAACTTGGAATCCCTGAGCTTGCGGGAGAGGAGATTCTGCAAGGGCGCCTCCCACAGCCTGCCCTCCGCCAAGGTGACGCGGTGGAAGGACAGCCGCAGGAGCGGACTCAAAAGGCACGCATCTTCACGCGCATGCGCGGGCTTACGTGAACGCGCTTGGGCGGGCTTACGTGAACGCGCGTGCTTACGCGAACGCGCGTGCTTACTTGAACGCGCGTGTGTACGTGAACGCTCTTGGGCGGGCTTACTTGAACGTGCGTGTTTACGTGAACGCGCTTGGGCGGCCTTACGTGAACGCGCTTGGGAGGGCTTACGTGAACGCGCGGGCGCAGGTTTAAGTGAACGCGCGTACGCAAGCGCGCATTGTCGCCACGGACGTCGGCTGCACGAGTCGCCAGAGGACTAGTGGAAGGTATTGGCTGCTGGGTTCTCTTGATATTTCTCCCGTCCACCACCAAATCGGGTCGGGCTTAGATCGTGAGGGGGGAGTCTAATTACTTCTTTTCCTCTCTCCTGCTTTCTTCGGGGTGTGTGATGGTGCTTCGGAGGCGGTGCGGAGGTTTGGCCACACTCCTTTACTCCCCGCCCATGGCCTTCGCAGTCCCAGAAACTCTGGTTATCTCCACGTTTTGAAGATCAATAAAGTCCACTTACTCCCACCTCCAAGAATAGGCCCTGAAATGTGTTTAGTGCCACTGACACCAGAAATGCTTTTTAGAATAAGGCTAGGTAATCCTGAAAAAGTATGCTTCCTGCAGCCCATATCAGGCTGAGTACCTTTATGTTTTTCAGTGTCTGATTCTACTTAGGAGGATTGAATGAATCATCACTTCACCTTTTTGTCTTGGAATGTCTGATACTTACAGACCAAAAAGAAAGTTAAGTCCAACCAGGTGGTCTGATGATAGGTATAAATTAAAATGATGTAGCCCTAGCCGGCTTGGCGCAGTGGATAGAGCGTCAGCCTGTGGACTGAAGGGTCCCAGGTTCATTCGGGCCAAGGGCACATGCCTGGGTTGTGGGCTCGATCCTCAGTAGGGGGCGTGCAGGAGGCAGCCGATCAATGATTCTCATTATTGATGTTTCTCTCCTTCTCCCTCTCTGAAATCAATTTAAAAAGTTAAAAAAATTAAAATGACGTAATATTATTTTTCCTATGCACATTAACAGCTCACACCAAGTACTTGAAAGAACACCTCGGATATTGTTTCTCCAGCCTTTAAGCTATTGAAACAACAGTACCTCCTGGGCGTGTTCTGCTCTGTTACTGGAGTGTGTTTCTGATCATCTGAATCTCAACCATGTTTTCAAACTGCTTGCAGAATATCATAAAAATTACAAACGCCCACCTTCTGCATTCAGGATTATGCCACCGATTAATAAGAAATAAAAGGTGTTTCGGAACTGTGCCAACATCCAGATTGCACAGGCGGGTTGTCGTTACAGGCATTGGCTTAGTGACTCCTCTTGGTGTTGGAACTCAGCTGGTATGGGACCGTCTGATCCGAGGAGAGAGTGGAATTATTTCATTGGTTGGTGAAGAATATAAGAATATCCCTTGCCGTGTTGCTGCTTTTGTGCCAAGAGGTTGTGATGAAGGTCAGTTCAATGAACAAAACTTTGCGTCCACATCAGATCTCAAGTCCATGTCTTCCCCCACCATTATGGCCATTGGGGCTGCAGAGTTAGCCATGAAAGACTCTGGCTGGCATCCTCAGTCAGAAGCTGATCAAGTGGCTACTGGTGTTGCAATTGGCATGGGAATGGTTCCTCTTGAAGTTGTTTCTGAAACTGCTTTGATGTTTCAGACAAAAGGTTACAATAAAGTCAGCCCATTCTTTGTCCCGAAGATTCTGGTCAACATGGCAGCAGGCCAGGTCAGCATTCGATATAAACTCAGGGGCCCCAATCATACAGTCTCTACAGCCTGTACCACAGGAGCTCATGCTGTGGGAGACTCCTTTAGATTTATAGCCCATGGTGATGCTGATGTGATGGTGGCTGGAGGTACAGATTCTTGCATTAGCCCTTTATCTCTTGCTGGGTTTGCCAGAGCCCGTGCTCTGAGCACAAACCCTGATCCTAAGTTGGCATGTCGACCATTTCATCCAAAGAGAGATGGTTTTGTAATGGGAGAAGGTGCAGCTGTGCTGGTGCTGGAAGAACATGAACATGCTGTTCAAAGAGGGGCCCGGATCTATGCAGAAATTTTGGGCTATGGACTCTCAGGTGATGCTGGTCACATTACCGCCCCTGACTCTGAAGGAGACGGTGCCTTAAGGTAAACACTTTTTCTTTTCATTCAAAATATTTATTCAAATAAGACATTTTCTTGGAGTGTCAAATGAGGGGAAATTGTACTGTCTGGCTTTAGTGTATGGTATCTCTGTTGTTTCATTTTAGACTAAACAAAGTGTTTTTGAGTTTTTTGCTTTAACATGTTTCAAGCATTTGAAAATATTTGAAAATCCTTACAAAAATTGTAGTCAATGTGTTTTTTTTCCCCTCAAGGGAAAAAGTCATTTCAGATAAATGGAAATATATTTTGTTAGAGATTATATAATTGATAGGCTTATATGTTTATCTCTTGGTGATGAATCAGTCCAAGGTACTGGATGTGACTCATTATTCCCAAGCAGATGGTATTCTAACTCACATGGTAATCTAACATGGGGTTCTGTTATTAGACAAAGGATTATTTCCATTCAGTGTACTTGGATATTTCTTTAATTTAAGCCATACAGTTAATGAATCCCATGTTAAAATTAAACTTAGTTCTGATAAATTTCTGTTGTTATTTTACTAGATGTATGGTTGCTGCTGTAAAGGATGCAAATGTACAGCCCGAAGAGATATCCTATGTCAATGCACATGCTACTTCCACGCCACTAGGAGATGCTGCTGAAAACAAAGCTATCAAACGTCTTTTCAAAGACCATGCACATGCCCTTGCCATTTCCGCAACTAAGGGAGCCACGGGACATCTGCTGGGAGCTGCAGGGGCGGTGGAGGCAGCGTTTACTGCTCTGGCTTGTTATTATCGACAACTACCACCTACTTTAAACCTGGATTATACAGAACCAGAATTTGATCTCAATTATGTTCCACTGAAGGCACAGGAATGGAAAACTGAGAAAAGACGTATCGGACTCACCAATTCCTTTGGTTTTGGTGGTACTAATGCAACACTTTGCATTGCTGGCATGTAGGACAGGCAAATCATTTGTGATTAAACATTGGTTTTTTAATGTTATAAACAAACTTTATGAAGTGGAGAAATACTATGTTTCTATAAATGCATATACTTTTATATCTGTGTCAGCGTTTCTCAGTTTTGCCACTACTGATATTTGAGGCTGGATAATTCTTTGTTGGGGGGAGGGGAGTTGTCCTTTACATTGTAGGATGCTATTACAATCTACCCACTAGATTGTAATAGCAGTCCCTTCCCCAGTTGTGACAACCAAAGATGTCTCGACATTGCCAAATGTGTCCTGAGGTGCAAAACAACCCCCATGTGCAAAGGACTGATCTAAGTTTTTCTAATACTTTAGATTAAACAACTCTTCATGATATTTCACCTGTCTCTTTCCAAAGCATTTGGTGAGTAGCTGCTCTATGCTAGGTAAGGTTGCTACACGCTACAACTCCAGACACACCATTTCCATGTAATATATAGGAAAGGAATACATATATAATGAAATTTGTATGATTGATCAACATTCTTTGAATGTAGCAGTTAGCTCGCAATAATCTATTTACCCCTTACCTATCTAGCTCTCTTCATATTATCTATACTGAGATTCTGAAAGAAGGAAGTGAAATTGGTTTGGCATTTCTTATTCTTTTTGTATGGATGGCGGTACCTAGTGATTAATGGGGATAAGGGTTCTTAGGAAGTAGAACAGGACTTGGTGATATAAACCACGCCACCTTATTCCACCTACAGCTATAATAGAATATTTTTGTGTTTACTTCCAACATTTCACCCCAAGTGCTGGGGGTACGTTTACTTTTCCACCTTGAGGCTTTCTCTAAAGCCAACAGATCTCATTCATCTCCATTGGCTGGAAGTGTTGGGAAGGGAAAGGGTACAAATTCTCTAGAGCAGTTGTTCTCAACCTTCCTGATGCCACGACCCTTTAATACAGTTCCTCATGTTGTGGTGACCCCCAATTTCATTGTTACAAATTGAACATAATTAAAGCATAGTGATTAATCACAGAAACAATATGTAATTGTATATGTATTTTCCGATGGTCTTAGGCGACCCCTGTGAAAGGGTCGTTCGACCCCCAAAGGAGTCGTGACCCACAGGTTGAGAACTGCTGCCATAGCAGCTTCTGAAGGATGAGAGTTGGTGGATAAATGCCTCAGGTCTCAGTTACAACTTCTCAGCTCTGCCCTAATAGTGCCAAGGCAGCCACAGGCCATATGCAAATGAATGGGTGTGGCATGATTTTGCTTGCAGGGAGGGGAGGAGCAGATTTGGCCAGTGGGCTGTAGTTTGAAAACTGTTCTAACTCCAAGGAAGCACATTGACAGGTTTAGCTAGCTAATTTTCTGTCAGTGGGGTATCCAGAAATTTTGCCATATAAGATTGGAAAACTGGATTTCAGTACTGGAATAATAATAATTATAATAACAATCGTTAATGTTTGTATTGTACCTACATTCCAGGCATTGTTGCAAGTATATTTCTTATAATCTTTTCATTTAATTCTCACAATTGTAATTTAGTAATAATGGTATCCAATTTTATGGATAGGGTATTTGAAATTTAATGAAATTAAAAAGCTAGTCCAAAGTTACACAGTCAAACAGTGGCAGACAAAGACTCAAGAGTATCCTCTGATTCCAAAGAGCAGGTTCTTAACCTCCTAAACATGCCAGTTGCTCAAGAGTAAGGATTGAGGCTCCCTACCAAGGAAGATCCTCTGGGGAGGAGCAGAGCTAACTCATTTCTGAGTTGGGAGAAGGAATGCATGTCCTTGCACCTCTCCTTTTGTTTGAAAACGAATAAAGATGTAACTTGCTTTGTTTATGCAGGTACTGACATATTATGTTAGAATGTATAAAGTCTGATAACCAAACCCCAGCTTGAAAATCAAAATGATCCTTCTCTAAGTATAAATACTAGTAATGTACTCTTTCCAGACTTAATATCTGTACTTTTTGTAATTTAAAAAATTCATCATAGTATCTTAAAGAAAGGACCTATTAATTTATAGGTAAAAACGTTGATGGTATATTTTACATTTACCATCAGATGGCATGTGATACATGCTCATTTTAAACAATTAAGGCAGTGCAGAAGAATATAGGTCACCTATTCTCCATTCCCCTTACACTGGCTAACAACATTTTATAACCTCAAAGTAACTGAAATATGTATTGCCATTTTGATCTGGCCTAACTTTAGCAACTAACACATGAGAATTTCCTTTATTGTTTCACTGGTTAATTACACCCAGACAAACCCTATTCAAGATGGCCTGGTGGTGAAAAGCCCACCTGAAGATCTTGTATTCCAGAGTGATTTGGTGGAAAGAATGGGAGATTTGGACTCAGTAGACCTCGATTTAAGTCACTCACTGGGCTTCAGTTTTCTCACATGTAAATGGAGTCAGTAGCACTACTTATGCAAAAAACGGTTTTGAGCCTCAAGGTTGGTCAATACACTAAGTGTAATTCTCTGTATAGAGTGGCTATTATGTTAAGAGATGAGTGTGATCTTTTCCATATTAATAAGTTATCTAGGAGCTTGGTTGCTAAATCTGGGAAAACTTCATCAGTTTAGGATTTTATTGTTTTTATATCTCTATATTGATTATTATTATGACTTATTAATATTAATATTGTGTTATCCTTGTAACCTGTTATTAAATGGTGAAAAGCTTTGCCAAGGTAAAAGCATGAGTGTATCCAGACTAGAAATTTCCCCTAAAATAAGTGGTGTGAAGCATAGAAACGTTAACAAAGAAGCTTATGAAATGAAAGAGATGAAAGGTTAGAAAGCTGCCTCTCTTGGCTGACTCAGGCCCACCCCTTCCCAGCAGCAGGGACTGCGGGGGTGGGGGTGGTGGTGGAAGGGATTAGATGACCTCACAAGGTTCCTTGTAGTCTGTGGTGTTTTTTGGGGGGTTTTTTGTTTTTTGAAGTCTATTTAAAGATTGCAGTAATACTGCTGATGTGAAATCCTTTGTACACAGTGATGGTTGAAAATATGGGCTCCTGACCTGAATCTCTGCCTGCCTGGTTATAATTATATGCTTGAGATTAACAGGACTCAAATGCTCATGTTTTATACAAGCCATTGGGTCTTTTTTCTCCTCAAGAATTTTTTTAAAACTGTATTTTAGACTGAAGCTAGAGGGAGAAGGTTGATTTAAAAATGCATTCAGATACAGAAGGATTTAGATGATTTTAATAACTAAGCTTAGTTATCATATTGCAGTTCAGAAAGATGAATGAATAATAAGGTAGAATGCTGAGATCCAGGGGGTAATCCCTGAGACAGGACATCACTGGAGCAGCATGTTAACTAGAAAAGAGTCATTGTTAGCAGAGAACAGATAATTCCCCAAATCCATAAGCATCTGGTATGTCATAAGCAGCTTGTATAGTATTTTTTCTCTTTATTGTTGAGATTATTACATATGCACCTCTTTTTCCCCCCCATAGCTCCCCTCCACCCAGTTCCCACCCCACCCAGGCCCTCACCACCTTATTGTCTGTGTCCATAGGTAATGCATATATGCATATAAGATCTTTGTCTATTTTCTCCCTGCACTCCTCCCCACACCAACTTCCCTCTGAGAATCGTCAGTCTGTTCCATTTCCATGTCCCTGATTCTATTCCATTAACCAGTTTATTCTGTTCATCAGATTTTTTTATTCATTTGATTTTTAGATTCACTTGTTGATAGATATGTATTTGTTGTCACTTTGTTGTTCATAATTTTTTATCTTTACTTTTTTCTTCTTCTTCCTCTTCTTAAAGAGTACCCTTCAGCATTTCATATAATACTGGTTTGGTGGTGATGAACTCCTTTAGCTTTTTCTTGACTATGAAGCTCTTTATCTGACCTTCAATTCTAAATGATAGCTTTGCTGGGTAGAGTAATCTTGGTTGTAGGTTCTTGTTATGCATCACTTTGAATATTTCTTGCCACTCCCTTCTGGCCTGCATAGTTTCTGTTGAGAAATCAGCTGACAGTCCTGTGGGCACTCCCTTGTAGGTAACTAACTGTTTTTCTCTTGCTGCTTTTAAGATTCTCTCTTTGTCTTTTGCCCTTGGCATTTTAATTATGATGTATCTTGGTGTGGTCCTGTTTGGATTCCTCTTGTTTGGGGTTCTCTGCGCTTCCTGGACTTATAAGTTTATTTCTTTCACCAGGTAGGGGAAGTTTTCTGTCATTATTTCTTCAAATAGATTTTCAATATCTTGCTCTCTCTCTTATTCTGGCACCCCCATATTACATGTGAACAGTCAGATATCCCTCTTGCAATCTGGAACTGCTGGCTTCTAACCACTCGCCTGCCTGCCTGCCTGATCGCCCCTAACTGCCTCTGCCTTCCCACCTGATCACCCACTAACTGCTCCCCTGCCAGCCTGATCGCCTCCTAACTGCTCCCCTGCCAGCCTGATCACCCCTAACTGCCCTTCCCTGCCAGCTTGATCGCCTTTAACCGTCTCTGCCTTGGCCCCCACCACCGTTTTTTGTCCGGAAGATGTCTGGTCTAATTAGCATATTACCCTTTTATTAGTATAGATTATTATCACTAATGTGCATAAGTAAATCAGCAATAAGACTTTTGGAATGCTGGTAGTACAGATATATCAGTTAGCCTTCTAACTAACTAGAGGCCTCCGCCTGGTATCTTTGTGAAGCTTTATCTGCCAGGAAAAAAGATTGTTTTTCCCCCTCTAACTGGAAGTACCATGTCTTTCTGCAACAGCTGTGTGACTTCTGACAATCCTGGTCAACTGTGTCCCAGAACAAAATGAATCTGGTTGCCCTTAATATCATTCTGTTTCACGATGGTTGATAGAGATTCGCTAATAATTTTGATCTGGTAAAGAGTCAGTCAGTGGAAAATTAGAAATTTTAATGAAGATTCTCATTAGATGTTCTTCACAAATAATGGGGCTGTAGTCCAACTCAAGATTCTTAGCAAAGCAATTCCTATTTCAATTATCACAAGTAATTATTAGTGTTTATATCACTTTGTGCTTCTTAAGTGCTTTCAATTATTTTTTCCACAATTCTTTGAAAAAAACACACACAAACCACAACACTAAAGAAC